ATGCCTAGTAAATACACAACTACCTACACATAGTGTTTTCGAAAACATTGAAAAAAAAATTGAATCATTTATTATATAAATTCAATACAAACATAATACAACGATGCAGAGAGTATGGCATAAACAAACAGTTACGATCTGCACCGCTTGCCGATGAATTTTACTATGTCGATGTCTATTGTTTTTACGACGACATCATCGTAATAATATATCATATTATACAATATTATAAAGTCTTTTAGCAGAATAATCTCTATGAAGAGGAACGACGGGTGAGAAGAATAAAGATTGTTTTTGGTTTTATTTTCGTGGGGAGGTGAAGTGCAGAAGAAGACACTCCGTAAGAGCACCGGGTGTCGTATATAATATTATATATAGAGAGCCGTGTACGTTATTTATTATTTTAGACAGTTGTGGTGGGTCAAAATTAATGATTCTCTAATGGTTTATAATGCGCGTCATCTTTTCGTGTGACGAATTACCCATCCTCGCGTATAACGTTCGCATAATCACTCCAATAATGTACAACATGCCTATTAATTAACGACGGGAATATCATATGATCACATTCTTTTGTCAAGCACCGGTTTTGAGACCTGTAGACCTGACCAGTTGAATCGGATTAACCGACATCGGGACTTGATGTATCGTACGTATAAAATACACCGTGACACCGATTTGGATGGATAAAATATGCATATTCTGTACATTGCAAGTTTAAATATATGTTATAGGTGATTGATTTTCGATTTATGAAACAATAAACACTAAATCGAACCAAAAATGCATGATAATGTTACTTTGTTAATTTTTAAATTTAATTATTGGAATAATATTATTGTATTATCACGCTGTTTAATCATTAATCACATTCTGTTATTCACTATGTTAACATCGATAGTTGTTAGTTCATTAACTATCATCGATACAACACTAAAATGAGTAATAGAATAAATAATAGTATATTATATACGATATTATACATCCTTATAATATTATTATTTTTTTTTTTATTATTATTATTAACTAACCCGCTGCAACATAGAACATTGTGTGTTTATTCTTAGTATTTTTTTAACTGTTGGGGTTGCACGGTAGATTGGTAACACGTGTATATGTGGCAAAGTGTTTGCCACTAAGAACTCGGGATGTCAACCATTCGGGAACTATTGGAAGCAGGAGGTTAGGTACTCTCAATAATGTTGCATGACTGATTGTAGCAACCACGCCACCTAATATAATTTACAAATCCATCATACAATGCAAATTACAAAATAATTCTCAAACTTTTTATGTGCATATATTATACTATACTCGTATTAGCAGTCATTGTCAGATCTATATGATGCTAATAACATAATATGATCAACTTGAGGACATAAAATATATATGGTACTTACTTTAATTATAATTCTAATTGTATAATGTACAATGACCTAATAAATTTAACTATTCTGTAGTATAAAATAATTTTTATAATAATTAAAATGCCATTAAAAACTGTGATTTTATAACAGATATTTATATCGACAGAATATGTCATATAGATCATACATTATAATATACAAAAATTAAAATTTACCAATTACATTTTTATTATGAAATATCTCAATATTTATTATTGATTAAAAACAATTAGTTGACATTGCAATAATATTTTATAACCATAAAATATATTACATAATTAAAACACTAAAATCAAAATCAATGAAATATGTATACTTACATATTATTTAAATGTTAATGTGTCAACTATTTATATTATTTATGAATTATGATCATCTTGATTTATGTATATAACATATCAGTTATAGTAAAATTATATAATATGATATATTATTCCTCTTACAGCCTTAATCCATAATAAACTTAATAAAAATGAGAAAGACGGCTACGGAAAATAATAATCATACCCAATTTTTTTATAAGTTCAAGATTCAATGTAAGAAGTTTAATTTATTTTCAATTATATATTCGAACAAGATCTTGGACGAGTTCCCCTCCAAAGTGTTATTAAAATGTGTCCCTGGAGTGTAATTTTCCGTTTTCTATGAAGTTTCTTGAAACATACAGTGAAAAATAAATTCACTATAATAATACGTATAATGAAAATAAAAATGAGTAATGTTTCTGTTTCGTTTATCATATTTGTACAGAAATTGTAGTTGCAGTAAATCACAGCAATAATATTATTCGATGAGAAAACATACAATACCATAGGTATATGAATATAAAAGCATACCTTTGCTTAATCATATGCATGACTGAACTGTATGCGCCAACGTATCAATATTATAGGCATTATAGTAAGGGCGCATTAACAACGGGTTTGCGAGTTTTTAAAACAAAAATAAGTATAACTTACCATTATATTATTCTTTCTATTATTATCGTTTGAAAGTCACATATATTCGATATCGATCTACGTATAATAATATACATAGTAACTACACACGCAAAAATGAAAAATAATTGGTATCTAAGATAAAAACCAAAATATAACAAAAATAATAATAATGATGAAAGTAATAATATAATCATTATTTATCATCGAGGTTTTTTTATCGATGATTATTATCTTTAAAATAATCATAATATATAATAATATTATTACTCTCAACAAAAACGAGGCGCACGCACGTTAAGTATACGAAGTTTGATTAGTTTACGTTACGATATATCGTAATAATAATATATCATACCACTGAAATTTGACACGTAAAATGCGCACATAATTCTCCACGTAGTTAGTGGTTATCAAATTTGACCCAAAATAAACGCGAATATAATATATTATTTTGTGCAAGTGTGTGCTTCCGCACGATTTTACGATACACGCCGGAGAAATGGCAGTCGTTTTCGAAATTAATCACATGGCTGTGCGTTTGTATTTTTGTAATGCGTATGTTGTTTTGGCGCGTGATAATAAAATACTTTTATTTCTCGTTCGAAGCACTATACCAATTCCTACCTGCTTCCACACACAATACTATAACCACCACCATCACTACCTACCTGTAATATATATTTGCACAGTTAAGTTTTTACGCAAGACGCAAGATCGCTAGAAATATTATATATTTTTTAAAACCAATTACGTCCTTACACTTATATCCTCGTACGTACGATGTTATTATAATATAGTATAAATACCTTTAGTTGTTGGAGTGCACTATATGATATTAGCTTTACTGATACGTGTATTAGGTAAATTATTCTAGGCTATTAAACTATAAATAATAATTATTGTGCTTAAAACTTTATAATGCTCTAAAAATATACCGAACATACATTGCACTGTTGTTTACTACCTATTTGTACATTTTAATTGGTATCATTTACTCTATTTTTACATTAAAATAGCATCCTACACGTTATCAATGCTGTCAAATTCAAATTTAATAAAATGTTAAGAGGACGCCAAACCTGCATTCATTGTCTCCGTTTTACAAATATGCAACATAGAAAATTTAATGTTAACGATAATCTATTCACTAATGAAGTAATGAATTGATCTAGGTATTATAAAATGTACATTATTCTATAAGGTAATCCAGATTCCAGAGTAAGTTTAACTATTGGAGATTTTTATTGACATTTTAAGCAAGTTATGCTAGTTTTAATATTTACAGAACATGTACAGTTTTAAAATGTCCATAATTAAAACTCCAAGATACCCTAAATAATTATTTTACCTTTAATTATTATAATGAATCATTCTAATTTAAAAAAATAGTGAATCACTTTGATTGTAAAATTTGATATGTTGTACTGTAACACACGTGGTCAACCATAAAAATTAAAAATAATTAATTTTTTAATAATAAACACGCTTAGTTTTGCTAAATATAAATAATATAAAAAATAATTCTAAAATGCTTTGTTGACCTTGAATAATTTATGGTAGAATTATAATACACTATAAAATATTAAATCAATACAGTCTTTATATTATTTGAATCAATGTATTTTTGAATCATACTATTTCCTGCTATATAATATCGTGAAATCAGAAACTATGCCCTATAAATCATGAAACTCCTAAATATGCACTACAGTTTTCTTATTCATTAGTTAAGTCATTGAAATAAATTTTAGCTTATTGCAGAGTAATAAATCTAACAAACAAAAAAAAACTTGTAATTGCTACAATTTTGGAGCTCAAATATGGTAATAATGTCCCTAATATTTGATAGTTATATCAATCAGAAATAGTTGATAAATAAATGTACAGTTAATCAAAAGGTATAACTTATCTTTATAGTATATACTATAACACTGATCCATATAAATTGATTTTGTTAAACGCCACACGTTTTGTGAAAATATATGGATGGGAAAATAATAATTCAAAAAATTTAAAATTTAAATTGCAAAATATCAATATGATTTTAATATATTCTTAAAGTTTGATTTATGGGAAAATTCATTGATTTTTTTTACGTAAACTATCAAAATTTTCAGATCGGGCGTAAAGTAATACAATCAAGTTTTTTGTTGTTACCCTTTGCGTTGATTTTTTTTGTGAGTATAGAAAGTATGAGAACTTTAGTTGGTGGCTATTATAGTTCAAAATGCCCATCTCGTTTGCTATTTACGTGATACATAATATATATTAGTACTATTGTTTAATAATTTTGTCCTAATAACGCATGATTTTTTTGTCTCATATTATAATCACCGCTCTATAGGAGAAATAAAAATAAATGTTTCTTTATATAGCCTAAAAATACGCGGAAGATTTGTTTTGTACATGAAAAAAAAATAACGACCATTTCTAAATATACATTACAATTTATAAATATATTACAAATATGCTTTCTGACTTAATTTATTGATCCCTCATAAACGGGCTAAACTGCTATATAGATTATATATCACCATATTATGATATATTGCACATAAACACATAATAACTAATAAGCTGGAATATATACTAATATCATTATCCTAAGCTTAGATGGTTGCTCACTTAATTTATTTCTTGGATTTTATTTCAGGTGAGCGGTATGAGGTTCGAGACGCAGCTACGGACGTTGAACCAGTTCCCGGACACGCTGCTGGGAGACCCGTGTCGGAGGATGCGGTACTTCGATCCGCTGCGCAACGAGTACTTCTTCGACAGGAACCGGCCGACGTTCGACGCCATACTCTACTATTACCAGAGTGGTGGCCGACTGAGGAGGCCAACTACTGTGCCGTTGGACGTGTTCTCCGAGGAGATAAAGTTCTATGAGCTCGGTGAACTGGCCACCAATAAATTTAGGTAAGACTCTCATGGAGTACTGACAACGCCACGACGTCAACTATCAGATGGTAATAATTAATAAATTATAATGATGTATCGGATTAGTGTCGGTCACAAATTTGTCGATATCAATTCTAACGATTCCCTTGCGGCTTCCTGTTACGTTTATTATTCAATATTTTTTTGGTTTTATAATATGTGTGTTAAGACGTTGGATTTTTCGATTACTAGTCTTCAATTTTTTTCTTCCAACAGAATGTAATCTCTTTTCTTTAGAGCATAAAATATTGGACCAGTCCAAAAGTTAACCTTAGTGTATCTACACCTTGGTCACTCTGTATACCCGCATGCACATCACCACTTGTGACATGGTCGCCTTAACTAATATTCCTATGCACAGGCAGGCCCGTAGCTAGGGTACAAGCAAGCCATGCGTTGCTTTAGGGCGGCATAACATTTTAAAAAATTGAGGCGGCAAATTGTAATATTAAATTTCCATAAAAGACAGAAATTTAATTATTATTTTTATTCGCTTTAGGGCGGAAAATGTCTTACGACGGGCCTGTGCACAGGCATACCTATAAATATACATATTATAAATATAAGTGTATATTATACTTAGATGACGTGCGAGTATCGTCGAGAAATGCTGACGCTCGAAACAATTACCCTTAAGGGTTTGTGCGGGTGAGGAGATAGTGCTGGTGGTAATAAGGGTGAGTTTTTCGTTGCGCACGCATCTGTTGTCCTATCTCCATGCCTTACATACTCTGTTTGCCCGAAATCCAACGAAATGTTCATGGTAGGGTAGAGTTGAGGGGTTATACATTATAGAACCGACATGTGAGTATGAGATCGGATCTGCTGCTGCTGTCGTGTGCAAATGGGTCACGTAAAATTGTAATTTAAAGACTTAACTAGGATCGAGTCTTTTGCTTTCCTTCCATCAGAGCATCCCCTAAGAATTCCTTTCCCGATTGGCCTTCATACACACATTTTCCGAGCACGTTTCCATTCCGGGCCTCCTACGTGACATCAATTACTCGCACTATGACGCTGACGACTTACTTCAATTTACAAACTAAATACGCACACTGTTATTATACATTATAAATTATATATAAATTTATATACGCGTATTGAATATGTATTATTTGAAAATGTAAATAATATTAACACTTCGCATCAAATGTGAGATTCAAGTGTCCGAAAAACAACCAATTCCGTCTAAAGAACACGAGAGTCTGGTAATAGTAAATTATCGATCTACGAAATAATAATAAATTGTACTATAAATTTATCATTATAAAGTTTGTGGCTTTATAATACAACGTGTATTGCGGCGCGATAGCTTAATATACAAACCAATTATTTAAAGAACTGTTTATTTCGGTCTTCCATAGTGATATACCTATTGAAACTCATTATGTTTTCGATCCTCACTATAGTTTCTGAACAAAAAAAATTAAAATGTCTGAAATTATCAATTTATTGGATAATATTTTTCTTGAAAAAAAAAATTATGTTTTTATGTAAGTTAAACGTTATTATACTCATAATTTTAGTACTAGGCGCAAATAAAACATCTAAGTTACCAATCTCGTTGGAATACCTCAGTGAGATAATAATATGTAGCAACAGACCGTCAAAAATATTTTAAATTTCGATTTCACCTCAAATAATATGACATATCAACAGTATTAATATACGGTTGGTTTGGTTATCTTTCCAATTTAAAATGTATATTTTACCTACGTACATAAACGTAATGGATGGGTTTTTTTATACGTTTAATAATATGAATCTGAGCCGTCACAAATCGGATAACCGGGGACAAAATTTTGCACATCTGCTCATGGAGGAATTAAAAATGAAAAAACCTGCACTCGTTGGTACACGCGCGCTAATACTTCCGCGTTTTATTTCGGTTTAACAACTTCCATATTATAGTAGTCATTACCCCAAAATCCGGGACCGCCAACCAGCCGAAATACCTTAGGGCACCGTTTCGTAATGCAACTTTATGTATAAAATATATGTGTGTTTATTAATTACTGTCAGTTGAGTGCTACCGCTACTGCCAATCGATATACACTTGGTGCTGTGCAAAAAATAAATAAAAAGCGCTGGAATACAAAAAACAAGTTCTTCCACGAATCAACTGATTGAGCTCAAAAATATATAATATTATTATACGAGTAATATCGAGTTGTACAATAATAATGTTATATAGAAATATAGTGGAATATCGGAAATAGCACTTGTATAGTGTGTACATAATAAAGCAACTAAAGGTTAGTAACGTGGTGGGTTAATATTGATGATGGGTAGAGTGGAGGGAGGGGGGAATTTCGCCTTTGGGCTGCAAACGAGTTAAAACGGCAACAATGTAAATGGCTTACGTGGGTGCAGCGCGCACAGCAGAGGATGAGCCTATATATCTAGCCAGCCGGCGGTCGGACGCGGGACGATCAATACGACCTGAAATTCGCCGTCGTTACAATATATATATTATATATAAATATTTTCTCTCCTCTAAAAATAGACGCGCAATGCCTCGAATGCGTTCACATCATCGTCACTTAAATATTATATTATTATTATAAAATTTAGTGTGAGTTATACTTTCCGGAAAAAAAATGTTTCCACAAAATTTGACAATTTAAAATTAATTTACACTACGGGATATACACCACAGAAGACCAGAACATGCCACTACTGCGGATACCAATAATAATTGTAAATAAGTAGTCATAGGCAATATTATGTTTAGTAGTTCGCCGGCGCAATGTATAGGCAAAACAGCTACATGGCCCGTCTTTGCTCGAGGAGATCGGCACGACAATAATATTATTACGACGTCTGGTACTTTTGTGGCTGCCGCCGAATATAACATGCACTGTGTAATAAATAATGCACCTAATTCACAAGTACGGTTTTGTAACGATTCAATTATCACGTATGGTAGGAGGCAATTTTATGCACCTCTTGATAAAACCAGCTATTACATTTTCTTTTTAATGAATGTAATATAAATCGAAAGTCGAGAGCCGTATTAATAAATAGTGATTTCCGTAATTTTGTGTACGTTTTTTAATTCACATTATTAAGTAGGCAATATTATTATGTCGAAGGAATTATTTGTGAGACTAATAAAATTGTTCAACACTATTTTTATTCGTACGCGCCTTCCATCTGACTTCATATTTTATTCAATTAACATTTAATAATGATGTATATCTAGAATACGTTTTTTTTTTTTTTTAATCAATATAATATATTTTGCTCGTCGATCTTCAATACGATTAGGTAAAACTAACAGTTAAAATACACAATTATTAGTATTTGCGTGTTTTTTGTCAAATCACGTAGAATGAATTTAACCATAAATAATTGTTCCAACATTATTCTCAAATTTGTTTGTTAGTACCGTTCCATTTACCCATTATATAACGAAGGGTCCAAAAAAAACTGGCTTAAGTGTTTGAAGGGGGCATATTATTTTTGTTGACGTGCGACAGTGACGTATCGTACGTAGAGTGTGCGTTTAAGTTTTGAGACATGTGTGCAGCGATCGCTTGAGAACAAATATTGATGTTAACACGTCGTCGATTGACGAAACGAGTATTTTTTTATACACCAGAACTCGCGTCATGATTCAAATTGGCGTAAAAAAACATTTTAAATGAAAGAAAAATAATGTCATTCGACACCTCGATCGTTCTTAAAAGAACAAGTTTATATTATTATGTAATATATACATATTTTATGTAACATTTTACCGATATGGAAGGTGTGTTCCAGAACGGTACCCACAGATTTTGTAGGTTTTTAAATAAAATGTTTGACTCTAGTTAAATATTTTTTATGACTACAAATAAAATATTGATTTTTGCTATATTTGTTACATTTTTACTTCAATAGGTTACAACCTAACCTAACCTAACCTTTTGAAAGAATAGATACATACTGCATTTTGAAATATTGGTGCAATGAAATTTTGACCTGCCACATATAATTAGAGGCCATAAACATAATAATGATATCATACTATTGTCTATTATGTTGTATAGTGCGTTATTCTCGAATATAACTAGTCATATACTACTTAAGTTAACTCATGAAACATGCATTAAGCCAATACTATTCGACGCAATGACCTTATTTTGAAGCTTTATAATAAAGCACTTTAAGTAAAGCACTGTATATAATAATAAATTGATGTATATTTACGTAACATAAACATAAGTCATCTCCTCGCCATTGTAAAATATCTAATACGAAATGGAATTGAAACAGTTACCGAATAAAGCACGTTGATGAGTTGAAATGTTTTTTCTGAAAACGTATCTTAGATATTTTTTACTTTCCTTGTCATAAATCAATAATCATAACGGTTACAGTTATGTAATATAACGGACCTTTTTTTAATTTAATTTCTAGACGGGATAATAATGTATTGATTTTTCAATTATTAGTATTATATATTTATTATTTATAGAATATATTTTTTATATTTATATAAAATAATAAAAATAATAATTTCCATATAACAAATTATTACGTTTACACCATACAAATTGAACATTTTACCCACCAATAAAATTTAATTTTTCGCACTGAAATTTATAAGCTTTACTCGTATTGCCATTTTATTGCACGATATTTAGATATCGCGATAATTTATTTGCCATGTGTTTGAATAAAACACATTTATTTATTTAGTTTTTATTCGACAATTTTATAACTTTTGAAACGCGCCTAATTAACAACTCGGAAGTTAACGCATAACCAGAGGTTTTATGTCCTTTAAATATTTAACGGTATCGCATTTGTTTAATACATCGACAATAAAATAATAATACGCCATGAAATGTATGATGGTTAGGTAAAGTTAGTCAAAGTTAGTTATTTTATAACATTATATTATAATACTATGTGATCTATACTGCCAGTTTTTGCTTTACCTATTTTCGTTTTCAGGGAAGAAGAGGGTTTTATAAAAGAAGAAGAGAAACCACTGCCAAAGCCCGAGTTCCAGCGGAAGGTGTGGCTGCTGTTCGAGTACCCGGAGAGCTCCCAAGCCGCCCGAGTGGTGGCTATCATATCCGTGTTCGTCATACTGTTATCCATCGTTATATTCTGCCTGGAAACATTGCCAGAGTTTAAACACTACAAGGTGTTCAATACGACGACCAATGGTACAAAGATCGAGGAGGATGAGGTGCCCGACATCACCGACCCGTTCTTTTTGATCGAGACCATTTGTATCGTATGGTTCACGTTCGAGCTGTCCGTCCGCTTTCTCGCCTGCCCCAACAAGTTACACTTCTTCAAGGACGTGATGAATACGATCGACATAATCGCCATAATACCATATTTCATCACGTTGGCAACGGTGATTGCCGAGGAGGAGGACCCTACGATGAATCTGCCCAAGGCGCCGCAGAACCCACAAGACAAGAGCACCAACCAGGCCATGTCACTGGCCATACTTAGAGTCATCCGGCTTGTGAGGGTTTTCAGGATATTCAAACTTTCCCGACATTCCAAGGGACTGCAAATTCTCGGGCGTACCTTGAAAGCCTCTATGCGAGAACTGGGATTGCTCATATTTTTCTTGTTTATCGGTAAGACATTTCGACGACAAACCGCGTCCGCGTTTCCGTTTTCGTCTGAACCACACATATTATTATTGCTCTTATTCTTGTGTACAAATACTCCATTCGAAATCTTTTCATTCAATTCCGCCGTACCATAGCGTATAATATAAATTATGCTCTTATAATATATAATCTGGTCCAGGCGGAAACGGACTCGGCAGGTGTACCGCGCGCGCGCCGATAAAGAAATGAAAGATTGAACGTATGTATTGTGTGTGTGCCGAAATTGTTCTTGATTCCGACGAAAACGATGATTACATCGATATAATAATATAACGAACTTTTAGCATCGTGTACCATCGGTCGTTCGCGGTGCCGGATCAGAGCTTCTGAGCTTTCCTTATCCTTGCACCCCGTCCAACGATGTCAGAAAGTCTTATACATAAAATGGGTCATTCGTTGCGTATATCAGAAGGAGGAGTGCGCTCAAGTACACCCCGGTATAATTTGATTTACTCATTTATCCGTCCTCGATATCGTCTTACCGAATTAAGGCCTTAGGGGTATTCAAAAATCTGTGATCGGAAAGCGTTTTTTATGATACAGAACATTTAATGGATGCACGCGAATGAATTCTGTCGGTGCTGGCGGCACATAGAGTATTTGTCTATATATTTATACATACATGTATATGTATAACGTCGATGACGGGACAAAACGAAAATAATCGTAACATTCCGACGTGTCATTTTATCGATTGACGCCGACGCGAGACCCGTCTGCGGATGTGGAGAAACAGTGTGTGTATATATAGAGAGAGAAACCGCCTCTCGCCGGGCCGCACACACCCTGCAAACCACGCTAAACCTTTTTTCTCTCACTCACTCGATTTGTGTGTGTGTGTG